CCCCTGCCGTGATGGGGACCCAGGAATTATGTCGCCAAAGTCCTGCTTCCTCACACAGCCTCCTCCCAACCCCTGCTCCAAGGGGACCCAGGGGTCTGGTCACACTGCCTTTCCGGGGCAAAGGGATGGTACTAGCTCCCTGACCCTTCCAGAAAGTCCTGCTCTCCAGCCTTTAATCCTAAACCTTCAGCCACGACCCTGGAATGCCAAGTCCCAGCCCCACCTCCTTGCAGCGTCTCGCTACTTCCCAGTCCTGCCCCCGCCCCCAGTAAAACTCCCAGGTCTCCCTCAACCCCTCCTCCAAGGAGACCTAGGGACTCAGCCCTCAGCCCCGCCCAGCAGGGGCGCGGGCTTCCTACCTGCAGTTCTTCAAAAGTGTCCTCGTATCCCCACCCACCGAAGCCGCCCCATCCAGCTCGCCTTTGGGGATGACTTTCGTACCCCACCTCTAGGGAACTCAGGTGCCAGAGCCTCCAGCCCCCGTCCCCCTTGGAGACACAGGTAACTGCTGTGCCCTCCCCGGTTCCCCAGGGCCCGCCCCGATCCTGGGCCGGACGGAACCGCGCCTCTCCTCGCTGCACACGGCGTCCCGGGCACCCGAGGGACCCATGGCTGCGGCGGCGGCCCCGCGGGGGCGGCAGTGGGGAGAGCCCCGCGCGCTCGGCCGGGCGGTGAAGCTCCTGCAGCGCCTGGAAGAGCAATGCGGGGACCCCCGGCTCGCCTCGAGTCCCCCGTCGCTGCGGAACCTACTGCCCCGCACCGCGCTGCTGCTGCGCGAGGTGGCCCACGCCCGGCGGGCGGCCGGAGGAGGCGGCCCCGAAGGTCCCGGCGGGCCGACGGACTTTCTTTCCATCTACCTGGACAACCTAGAGGCCAAAAGCAAGCAGGTGGCGGCACTGCTGCCACCGCGGGGCCGAAGGTCTGTCAACGACGAGCTCTTCCGGGAGGGCACCACACTCAGGTGAGCTGACGTCCTTGCCCCAAAGGTGGGATTACCAGTGAGGTCCGGGTCATGCCTCCAGCCCCTCCTCCCCCAGACCCAGGGTTCCAGGCCCCCAGCCCCTCCTCCCTCAGACCCAGGGGTCCTGGTCTCACCCCGTTCTCCCTGAGGAAACCTGGAAAACTAGTCCACCCCATTTTTTCCTTCCTTGGGCACCTATGCCTCAGCCCCCCATTTCCCCTCATTTTTTCCCCCCAGCAGCTGGCTTCCCACTGCTTCACTCTCCCAGAGGCATTAGACACACACATCCTGGGCATGGGGGGACCCCAGGGAACTTCCAGCCTGAGAAGTGGGTTGACATCTGCAGAGCATGGGCCGCCTGCCTGGGGTACTCACAGGCCCCACTTGCTCTCTGGTTCCTGAGGCCCAGCTGGCTCAGGACCTGGGGCTTGTCTGTGGGCCTCTGCTTCTGGCCCTGAACTCTGGGCAGCGGGCTGCTGAGTGGCAGGGGCAGTGGAGGTTTGAGGCCTTGAGCGCAGAACATGGTGTGGACCAGAGGCTCTCAACCCCATAAAGTAAATATTTTGTAATTACTCCTTACATTCATCCTGAAATGAAATACATAGGTTAAATCACTAAGCTACCCGTAATTACTTTAAAAATCACTATATACAGCCCAAGCTGTATTATAAGGGAATGATAAAAGGAATGTTCTTCATGATAAAATTATCTATACTTCAAATGAAAGCATTAAGGCACAGCTACAATTATTCTGGAAGGCAGGATCAACTAGTCAGACACTCGTACTTCCATGGAGAACTATTAAGTTGCCAAATAGTCTTCCCTCCATATATAGGACAGTTGAATTCCTGTAAAATTTAGTATAAATTTAAAATTTGCAAATTGAGTTCTTGGCTTATTATAAGTGAATTTCTACATTCACAAATGTCTGATGGGACATTGGAAAGTTGAGTGGGATATGGGCACATTTTGCTGGAGGCAGTTGTTCTCCACAGCCTCACCTCCCCACCCTAATCACTATGTCAAGTAAATTTCCGGAAGCTTCTTAAAGGCTGGTATAACCCCACTGAGAATCACTGTTCTAGAAACTCGGATTCTTAGGCACTCAGTGTCTGAGTGGGTGTTCAGAGTCATGGGGGTCCTAGCAACTCTCTGAAGGAGATTCTAGACCAGCACTTTTCACTAAAATCTGCCGCAAGCCGCATAACATAGTTTTTCATTTTCTAGTAGACATATTACAAAAAAATTTTTTTAAACTGAAATGAATTTTAATAATTTTTTAACTCACTGTATCCAGAATATTATCATCTCAATTTATAGTCAATATAAAACAACGATTAATGAGTTAGTCCGCTCTTTTCTTTCTTCATCTTTTGCCCTAAGTTTCCAAAATCTGGAGTGTATTTCACATTTTGAGCACATCAGTTTGGACCAGCCACATGTGGATAATGGCTACATATTAGACTCTGGCAAGGGGGTTGCTTAGAAACTGTGAGGAGTGATCCTAAAAAAGGTTCGGGAACCCTACAGACCTGGCTCAAAGAGATTATGAACACACAACAGTAAGAACAATAATAATGATTATCATGTACTCGGTGCCGACTGCATGCCGGGTGTGCTAGACGTTTTGTGTGCCCATAAGACATGTAGGAATCCTCCTAACTTCCCTTGTGAGGCAGGGGCCGTACTTATCCTGTACTTATGCCCATTTCACAGTTGAGGAAACTGAGGCACATAGAGGGGATAAAAGGAACTTGCCAAAAATCACACAGCTCAGTATCAAAGCTACTGTTTGCCGCTGCCACGTCCTGATCAGTATCCCAGGGAGGCAGCCAGCAGGTGAAAGCAGGGGTCCATCACCCAGTGAGGCTAAAACCAAGAAGAGGCTCCAGCATGACTTGCACACAGACCACCCTGAATGCCCTCAGCCCCAGTGATAATAAAGCATTGGTTCTGCAGGCTTTCAAATCTGGTATAAATGGCATGGTACTGTACTAATCTTTCTGCACTGGCGTTTTCTTTTTTCTTTTACCATTGTATTAGTTCCCTAGGGCTGCTGTAACAAAGACCCACAAACTGAGTAGCTTAAAGCAACAGAAATTTGTTTGCTCACAATTCTGGAGACAAGGAATCCAAAATCAAAATGCTAGCAGGGCTGTGCTCTCTCTGCAGGCGGTAGGGGAGGGTCCTTCCTCGCCTCTTCCTGGCTTCTGGTTTGCCAGCAATCCTTGGCATTCCTTGGCTTATAGATGCACCACTCTAACTGCTGGCTCCAACATCACATGGCTTTCTTCCCATGCGTCTACCTGTATCTGTGTCCAAATTTCCAATCATAGGGCCCACCCGAATTCAGTATGACTTCATCTTAACTTGGTTACACCTACAAGAACTCAATTTCTAAATAAGGTCACACTCACAGGTTCCAGTGGACATGAACCTGGGGGCGGGGCGCACTACTCAACCCAATACACTCTTCATTAAGTTTTTATGATTCATGCTATTGGTGTGTGTATATAGTTCATTCACTGAACTTGCCATGTGGGAATTTTGTGAGAGTGTACCACGATTTATTCATCCCTTACCTTAGTGATGGACACTTCCGTTTCCAGTTTTCTCCATTTCCGACAAAGCTGCAATTAACATCCCTGAACACGTCTCTCGGGGTTTGTTCGGACAGTGTTTCTCAAACAGCCCGCAAGATCCATTAGTGGGTTATGAAATCAATTTAGTGGGTTACAAACACGATTTTTCCTTTAATGAAATGGAATTAAATGGAAGATATTATAGCACATGCACATATTGGGGCAATTGTGGATTATCCTGTGAAATTCTTTCCTTTCAAGTGTATGATGTCCTGATGTGAACGGAAGTGTTCGCAAGCCACAGCTTTGAAGGGTGTAGCTGGCAACGGCCCGGCTCTGTCAAAGGCTTCATAAATGCTGCCAACGAATTTGTCCATTTACACCTCCACCAGATGCTTGTCAAAACTTTGCACAGTCAAAAATGTGAATTTTTGCCCAGTGGATTTTCATCCTATTTTCGGGAGGAAGAAACCGAGGCTCGGAGAGGGCTGGAACGCAAGGAGCTGGGAGAGCGACCCCGCCATCCTGACAGCAAAAACCGGGTCTCTGCTTCGTCTGAGATGGAACGTCGAAAATTCCACAAGGTAAGGATTCTCCGATTCTAAGAGGTAGAGGGTGGGGGCTGAGGAGGGGAGTAGGGGGCGATGGGAGGACCAACTCTTATCCTAAACCCTCTCCTCGCTTCTCCACCTCAACAGGTATTGGAGAATTCTGGTAGTTAACAGCTTGACGCACAGGCCCCGACAGAGAGCGAAGTGTTAGGTATTACTGTTATGCTCTGATTCGAAATTTTCTAAGTATGCATATTTGTGATAGATCCTAGCCAGGTCTCCTGGGACGTAGCCCTGGCTCCCAGGGGCGTGACCCGGGTGCCTTGGGGCGGAGGGACCGCCAGGCCCCCCAGCGCATCCCAGTGGTTGAGCAGGTTGAGGATCAACCACGCCGCTCCCGCCCTGCGCCACGCAGCTGTGTTCGGCCCATGCGTTCTTGGAAATTATCTTCCCACCTCCTTTGGCAATCTGGGTGCCTCCCCTGCAGCTGGATTCCCCGCAGGCCCCTGCCGTGATGGGGACCCAGGAATTATGTCGCCAAAGTCCTGCTTCCTCACACAGCCTCCTCCCAACCCCTGCTCCAAGGGGACCCAGGGGTCTGGTCACACTGCCTTTCCGGGGCAAAGGGATGGTACTAGCTCCCTGACCCTTCCAGAAAGTCCTGCTCTCCAGCCTTTAATCCTAAACCTTCAGCCACGACCCTGGAATGCCAAGTCCCAGCCCCACCTCCTTGCAGCGTCTCGCTACTTCCCAGTCCTGCCCCCGCCCCCAGTAAAACTCCCAGGTCTCCCTCAACCCCTCCTCCAAGGAGACCTAGGGACTCAGCCCTCAGCCCCGCCCAGCAGGGGCGCGGGCTTCCTACCTGCAGTTCTTCAAAAGTGTCCTCGTATCCCCACCCACCGAAGCCGCCCCATCCAGCTCGCCTTTGGGGATGACTTTCGTACCCCACCTCTAGGGAACTCAGGTGCCAGAGCCTCCAGCCCCCGTCCCCCTTGGAGACACAGGTAACTGCTGTGCCCTCCCCGGTTCCCCAGGGCCCGCCCCGATCCTGGGCCGGACGGAACCGCGCCTCTCCTCGCTGCACACGGCGTCCCGGGCACCCGAGGGACCCATGGCTGCGGCGGCGGCCCCGCGGGGGCGGCAGTGGGGAGAGCCCCGCGCGCTCGGCCGGGCGGTGAAGCTCCTGCAGCGCCTGGAAGAGCAATGCGGGGACCCCCGGCTCGCCTCGAGTCCCCCGTCGCTGCGGAACCTACTGCCCCGCACCGCGCTGCTGCTGCGCGAGGTGGCCCACGCCCGGCGGGCGGCCGGAGGAGGCGGCCCCGAAGGTCCCGGCGGGCCGACGGACTTTCTTTCCATCTACCTGGACAACCTAGAGGCCAAAAGCAAGCAGGTGGCGGCACTGCTGCCACCGCGGGGCCGAAGGTCTGTCAACGACGAGCTCTTCCGGGAGGGCACCACACTCAGGTGAGCTGACGTCCTTGCCCCAAAGGTGGGATTACCAGTGAGGTCCGGGTCATGCCTCCAGCCCCTCCTCCCCCAGACCCAGGGTTCCAGGCCCCCAGCCCCTCCTCCCTCAGACCCAGGGGTCCTGGTCTCACCCCGTTCTCCCTGAGGAAACCTGGAAAACTAGTCCACCCCATTTTTTCCTTCCTTGGGCACCTATGCCTCAGCCCCCCATTTCCCCTCATTTTTTCCCCCCAGCAGCTGGCTTCCCACTGCTTCACTCTCCCAGAGGCATTAGACACACACATCCTGGGCATGGGGGGACCCCAGGGAACTTCCAGCCTGAGAAGTGGGTTGACATCTGCAGAGCATGGGCCGCCTGCCTGGGGTACTCACAGGCCCCACTTGCTCTCTGGTTCCTGAGGCCCAGCTGGCTCAGGACCTGGGGCTTGTCTGTGGGCCTCTGCTTCTGGCCCTGAACTCTGGGCAGCGGGCTGCTGAGTGGCAGGGGCAGTGGAGGTTTGAGGCCTTGAGCGCAGAACATGGTGTGGACCAGAGGCTCTCAACCCCATAAAGTAAATATTTTGTAATTACTCCTTACATTCATCCTGAAATGAAATACATAGGTTAAATCACTAAGCTACCCGTAATTACTTTAAAAATCACTATATACAGCCCAAGCTGTATTATAAGGGAATGATAAAAGGAATGTTCTTCATGATAAAATTATCTATACTTCAAATGAAAGCATTAAGGCACAGCTACAATTATTCTGGAAGGCAGGATCAACTAGTCAGACACTCGTACTTCCATGGAGAACTATTAAGTTGCCAAATAGTCTTCCCTCCATATATAGGACAGTTGAATTCCTGTAAAATTTAGTATAAATTTAAAATTTGCAAATTGAGTTCTTGGCTTATTATAAGTGAATTTCTACATTCACAAATGTCTGATGGGACATTGGAAAGTTGAGTGGGATATGGGCACATTTTGCTGGAGGCAGTTGTTCTCCACAGCCTCACCTCCCCACCCTAATCACTATGTCAAGTAAATTTCCGGAAGCTTCTTAAAGGCTGGTATAACCCCACTGAGAATCACTGTTCTAGAAACTCGGATTCTTAGGCACTCAGTGTCTGAGTGGGTGTTCAGAGTCATGGGGGTCCTAGCAACTCTCTGAAGGAGATTCTAGACCAGCACTTTTCACTAAAATCTGCCGCAAGCCGCATAACATAGTTTTTCATTTTCTAGTAGACATATTACAAAAAAATTTTTTTAAACTGAAATGAATTTTAATAATTTTTTAACTCACTGTATCCAGAATATTATCATCTCAATTTATAGTCAATATAAAACAACGATTAATGAGTTAGTCCGCTCTTTTCTTTCTTCATCTTTTGCCCTAAGTTTCCAAAATCTGGAGTGTATTTCACATTTTGAGCACATCAGTTTGGACCAGCCACATGTGGATAATGGCTACATATTAGACTCTGGCAAGGGGGTTGCTTAGAAACTGTGAGGAGTGATCCTAAAAAAGGTTCGGGAACCCTACAGACCTGGCTCAAAGAGATTATGAACACACAACAGTAAGAACAATAATAATGATTATCATGTACTCGGTGCCGACTGCATGCCGGGTGTGCTAGACGTTTTGTGTGCCCATAAGACATGTAGGAATCCTCCTAACTTCCCTTGTGAGGCAGGGGCCGTACTTATCCTGTACTTATGCCCATTTCACAGTTGAGGAAACTGAGGCACATAGAGGGGATAAAAGGAACTTGCCAAAAATCACACAGCTCAGTATCAAAGCTACTGTTTGCCGCTGCCACGTCCTGATCAGTATCCCAGGGAGGCAGCCAGCAGGTGAAAGCAGGGGTCCATCACCCAGTGAGGCTAAAACCAAGAAGAGGCTCCAGCATGACTTGCACACAGACCACCCTGAATGCCCTCAGCCCCAGTGGGCCCCACCTCTGACTAGGTGCAGCTTCTCCTCCAGCCCCATGGGCTGCAGGTGGAGGCTGGGATTTGTTTGCTGGAGAATGACATGGGTTTCAGGCAGCACCTCCCTTTCCTTCACAGATGAGGAGACCGAGGTCCTAAGAGGGGAGGCAACAGGGAGTCTTGGAATTGACTTTTGCCCTCCCCTGATAGTTAGAGAGAGTCTGGGGGTCCGGTGCCTGTGGGTATTATTCCCAGCAGCCGGTGGAGGTGTCAGTGAGAGCCCCAAGGCCCAGCCCTATTCTCAGAGCCCATCCCCCTAGGCGACAGCTGGCCAAGCTGGCCCTCATCTTCAGTCACATGCATGCGGAGCTGGGCGCTCTCTTCCCCGAGGGAAGGTACTGCGGACACACCTACCAGCTCACCAAGGCCCCGGCCCATACCTTCTGGAGGGAGCACTGTGGAGCCAGGTGAGTGAGGACTGCCCCTGGAATCCCTCAGCTCTCAAACCTCATCTTGTTCCTGCCCAGGGACCCAAGAGGCCGGGCCCCCAGTCCCTCCTCCTCAGACCCTGGATTCCTGGCTTCAGCTGCCCCTTCCTAGAGGTCTTGCCATTCTGGTCTTGCCAGGGGCCTCAGCTGTGTCCCCCCCACCCCCTCCCACAGGTGTGTGCTGCCCTGGGCAGAGTTTGAGTCACTCTTGTGCACCTGCCACCCCGTGGAGACAGGCCTCACAGCCATGGCCTTGCGCTCCACCATCAACCTCACCTGCAGTGGCCACGTGTCCATCTTCGAGTTTGACATCTTCACCAGGCTCTTCCAGGTCAGGGAAGGCCAAGGCTGGAAGCTCAGACTCTTGGCTCCGCAGGGAAGGAGAGGTTGGAAACCTGGTTTCCTGGGTCTGAGGAGGGTGGGGCTGGGGTCTCAGGCTCATGGATCCTGGGAGAGGAAGGGTCTGGGATCTTCTGTGTCAAAGATTTCTGAGGCCTACCATGAGTGTGAGCCAAATGGCTGGGTTTGTAAGCTGCTTCCTCGGACTCTCACTGACTCCAGCACTGTGCCACTCCAGCCATGGCCAACCCTCCTCAAGAACTGGCAGCTCCTGGCAGTCAACCACCCGGGTTACATGGCCTTCCTCACATACGACGAGGTCCAAGTGCGTCTGCAGGCCCTCAGAGACAAGCCAGGCAGGTAGGGGCCAGGCCTCAGGAGGAGGAGGCTGCCAGGTGATCGGGCCTGGAGCCTGGGCTGGGCGGTGGTGGAAGCCTAGACATCCTTCAGAGAGTAAGGGCTGAAGGGCTCAGGTGCCTGGGGCCCCAGAGCGCTACAGACTCAGAGTTAGGAAGCTGAGTAGCCCCTGCCAGCCCAACTCATCCAGCTGGGACCTTCTGGACCTTCCCCCAATCCAGCAGCTAAAGGGACAATACCCAGTGTGGTGGGGACCTGCCAGGAAAAGGTCTGTTTCTGACAGATCAGAGTCCATGCTGTAGCATCTATTAAATATTTTTAATATGACCCCATGCATACCTGCTGGGGCAGGAGAATGGAAACCAGACATCCCCCTTAAATTATTTCACACTAGGAGTTTTGAGCTGTTGGGGACTCCCTGAAGGCTAAGAATTGAAGGACTGGGCTACTACCTAGAACATCAAGGGGTTAGGGAAGAAAAGGTCAGATTTGTGAGTCTTTGCAGGGCTGAGGTGCAGGACCCCCAGTGAGATGAGTGCGTTAGTACTCTTCCTGTTACAACTCAGACTGGTTTAAAGGAAAAGAAAAAGGGACAAATTAATTCCCATAATTGAGAAGACCAGGCATGGGGTTTCAGGCACAGCTGGATCCAGTTGCTCACATGCTATTGTCAGGAATCAGTTTCTGTTCATCCCCCATGTCTGCTTTCCTTGTGTTAGCTTCATTCTCAGACATGGTTTCTCCTCATGATGACAAATGGTTTCTAAAAGCCCCAGCTAAATACCTTATTGGCTTAGCAACCTCTGTAGAAGTAGGTACCCTCCTTCTGATACCTCCAGTATCAGTGGAAGTCCCAGGGCTGACTTCTGTCACTATGGTCAGAGTCCTGAAATGAACCGATTGGCCAAGCCAGAATCAACTTTGTCTAAACCCCAGTAAAGGAGGAGGAGAAGCTGAACAAGTATAAACAATGTCCTCTGTAGTGGCACACAGGGGTCTGCCCCTTCATTGCCTAAAAAGTGGGAAGCTGCGTTATAAGGGGGCAAGAAGTTAATCACCTGAATCCCCAAAAGGATGGTGGGCTGGGAGGTCCCAAGAGGGATGGTGGTGACCACTCCCTCACCCCATCCTACCTACCTCTTCCTCCAGCTACATATTCCGGCCCAGCTGCACTCGCCTGGGGCAGTGGGCCATTGGATACGTGAGCTCAGATGGCAGCATCCTACAGACCATCCCTCTCAACAAACCCCTCTTCAAGGCACTCCTGGAAGGACAGAAGGATGGCTTGTGAGTTGCCATCCTGGCAGGGGGAGGGTGTCAGCAGAATGTACACCAAAAGGAGGTGCATGTTGAGCACTGCTCAAGACACATGGGTGGGCACAGAGTTCCCAGAGCCGGGGTCAGTTTGCAATACTATCGTGTTCCAGCAGGTGGCAGACAAGCATCTTGAGGAAGGGACACACTTCTAGTTCGCACAGAGCCAGCATGGTGGGGTGTGTGGGGAGTCGGTGGAACCCTGGTGGCTCCATTCATTGTGATTGTGCTCAAGGGCTTTTGCTTCTAGATATCTACATCTTGTTCTAGAATCTAGACTGTTAAAGCAGCAAAAGAACTGGGCAAACGTCTGGGCCTGCGTTTTCACCGTGTAACCTTGGCTATCCCAGGGCCCCTCTTTCAGAAGCCACCTTGGGTAGGAGGGGAAGGGAAAAAAAAGCCAGGTGAGGCTCCCAAGTCTCAGCCCAGACCTGAACCAGAACCTTCCTATCAGTCATATTGATATGGCATAATATATGAGATATGAGATACGAGATGATATACAATAGAGATAGAAAGGTAAGAAATAGCTATGCACTCAATTCTTATTATTCATGGTAGTTCTGTAAAGTCACTGCAAACACTGAATTAGTGGAGACTGAGCCCTTGCTCCAAGGGGAAATACAGGTTTAGGCTCCTGCAAGACTCCAATCACATTTTTATCAACCACTCACTACACAATAACCTTTATGTGTGTTTCTGTTTTCACACACCTTATTTAGTACATTTCGTTTATTGACGCTGAAGTCTACCCGACAGCTGAATTCATGCCTGAATGCAGTTTATCTAACACACACGTTTTCTCTGTAAGGCTCATCACAGCCCTCTTGCACTTAGGGAACACCAGACAGCACCCAGCACTGCTTCATTTAACACAGTGAAGTCACCAACAGAAAGCATAAAAATACAAAAACCGTGGCACTAAACAGACTGAAAAGGACACTTGTTTACAGTAAGAGGAGCTGAAACAGGAGGGCTAAGTGCTGCCTCCTTCAACCTCAGCTGGAAACATGCCCATCAGGCGACTCACCTATTTTGCCACTTAGATGGTGGGAATGACCACAGAAAGGCCGCAAGTATTGATTTTGGAGTTACAGGTACATTTTATCAAGGGGATGAATTTGCAAAGACAGAATCCACAAATAATGAAGATCTATTGTATACACTCTCATAGCCCTATTTGACTACTGGGACACAGCAAGGCAGAGCCACTTGCCCAGGTCACACAACTGCTGAGCTAACAAGCCAGGATTTGAAGCCAGGCAGCCAGAGTCAGCATACGGGCACTCACCCACCATAATGTCCTGAATTCCAGGTCAGATTTCATTGGAGGAGAGGATTCCAGGGTTTAAATAAGTGCAAACACCATCCATCTGGTTCACATACCCCCTGCCTGACGTACACGCATGCACGTGCACACCACCATTATACAGATGGGAAATCATGGCCTGGAGAGAGGGGATGGGACACCACGCTCTTTCTACCACACAGCAAGGGGGCCGTCTGGGTCTAAGGTCAATTGTAGCGTACATGGCGTGGAGGTGGGGTGTGGCCCATTTTATCAGCACTGCCTTATTCAATCTCTCCACCAGTTTTTGCCTTGGGCTTGATTATGTCTCTTTCACAGAAAGGAAAACCGAGGCCAGACAGGTAGAGTTGCCCAGGCCAGGTCACACCGAGTGTCTGTGGGAGAGCTGCATCCAGGCACAGGCCCAGCAGCCAGGCCAAGCCACCAGCCTCAGGGACTTGCAACCCCACTGTTGGTCTGAGGGTGCAGTTGTAGCCTGGGTGGTTGACCCAGAAGGTGCAGGGCCCTCTTCTTGGCTGCCCTGGAGCCCAGGGCTTAGACCCAGTCCCAGCCTGGTTCTGCATCCTTCCAGGCTTCCGTGTGTAGCTGTGGGCAGTTAGCTGAGCCTCTGTCCCCACCTGCGCAGCAAGAAGCAGTGTCAGTGATCTGAGGAGGCCTGCTAGCCCTGCTTAGGGTTTGGTCACTCAGCAACCTGTGACTCTAAGGTGCTCTTGCAGTCAGGCCTGAGGACTCAAGGATGGGGGATGCTCTGGGAGTCAAAGCCTGCGTTTTGATCAGTTTCCTCATTCTTGTTCCTCTGATCTGTGTTCCAGAGCTTGAGTCAGTTAGGTTTAGTGTGTCCTTTGGGGGTGTTGTGAGCAGGCATCTTGCCCTGGAAAGTCCCAATTTGAGATGAGGAAAGAGAAAATGTCCTCAAGCCAGAAATGGTTTTGGGGCAAATGCTCACCAGAATCTCTGGCCCCAGGAAGGGGCTGGGGAGTCCCTGTCAGTCCAGGCTAGGGGGTCCTGAAAGGTTCCCTCGGTCCCCTCTCTCCCCTTCACCCAGGTACCTCTACCCAGATGGAAAGAATTACAACCCAGACCTGACTGAACTCTGCCACACGGAACCCTATCAGCGCATCCAAGTGTCGGAGGTGAGTCCCAGGCCGTGCCTGCCTGCCCATCACCCGCCCTTTTGCATTGGCTCCAGAATTCCCTCCCACGGAGTCAGGCCTGGCGTCCCAGAGGCTTTGATTTCTGTGCTGGCTTGGTGGCCGTGTGATGTGCAGTAAATCATTTGGCCTCTCTGGGCCTCTGTCCTCCTTATTCCTCCTGGGTTTTTATGGGGATCAAACCAGGAACCAATACTGCTGAGGTCATCAGAACAGCGAAGGAATGCATGTGAGCGTACAGCTCTTAGTCTTCACAGCCACTCTGTGAGGGAGAGAGATGACAAAGGATTTTCTTAGCATAAGTATATCCCACAATATTTGGGATATACTTACACCTAAAATTTTATTCATCATTTATCTGAAAATCAAGCGTAACAGGGCATCCTGAATTCTCAGTGTCTAAGTCTGGCAACCTCAAGTGTAGACCCCAGAGAAGAAGCCTCATGACACAGGATACATATAGGAGGTGGCTGAGCACACACCCTTGAACTTGCAAGGATTTGGGGCTGACACAGAGGTTTGGGACTTCTGTCCTGTGGCCCAACCTGTATCCCTGCCACCCTCCCCACCTTCTCGCCTGCCAGGAGCAGCTGCAGCTGTACTGGGCCATGGACTCCACATTCGAGCTCTGCAAGATCTGTGCAGAGAGCAATAAGGATGTAAAGATTGAGCCGTGTGGGCATCTGCTCTGTAGCCGCTGCCTGGCTGCCTGGCAGGTGGGTCCGTCCTGCCCTGCCTTGCTGCCCCATCTCCCCTTCTCTATGCTAAATGCCCCTAGAGGATCTCCCAGAGGCCTTATCAATCAGATGGAGAAACTGAAGCCCAGGGAGAGCAGAGGTCTGCTCAGGGCCACTCAGGGGCGAGGACTGGGAGCCCACCTCGATGCCTGCACCCCTGTCTCATCTGGCTCTGCACCTGTCTCCTGGGCTCCTTCTCCAGCTGCATTGTTAGTGGAAAGGGCCCCTTCCTTCCTTCACTGGGTGTCCTGGAGCCAGTAGCTTCCCCTCTCTGAGCCTTAGCCTCCTTCTCTGGAGAATGCGGCTGATGGGAGACACCTCCCAAGAGCCATAGTGAGGATCCTAGCCCACGAAGCCCCTGGGAAAAGGGAGCTGTTGCCCCGTATAGTGTAGGTGCCTGAATTTAGTTTTCTGATTGTAATGTAAGGGTTTGACATTAAGCTTTTGATCGTGGAGGCACCCACTTGAAAGATGCCAATCTTGAATACACATGTCACCACGTGGATGACAGCGACCTGATAAGGAACCAGACTGCCCCCACCCGTGAGGTTCCCCGTAAGAAAGCCCTGAGTAGCCTAGAAAGTGGCCCAGCTTTTCCCTTCCTGCTCCCAAATTTCTGCTGTTATGCTTTAAATTTGCCAATGAACAGTGAGCCCAAAAGCCAAGGCCCCCCGCACAGCTCCTAATAAAAGCAGAGACCCCGCCTCCACCTCCCTCTACCTGGGACCTCGCTGTGCGGTCCGAGGCGTTCAGAGAACCCTCCTGGACCTCTGAGCAATAGGCCTCGTTCTTCATAGTTCCCCGATGGCTGTTGCTGAGGTGTGTCCTGCGATCATAATAAGAACCACAAGGGCCAGTCCAGCCAAAGCACTGGCCCAGGTGTGGGGGGGAATGGCCATGGGGCTCACCCCAGTTTACACGGTCCAGGCAAGTGTCCCAGGCCTTCCCGGCCAACAGCACCGCTGTGGATGGCTCAGACCCACATGACCCCCTGGCCCCACCGGCCCCCACCGGTACACCCCTCCTGGCCCCCGCCTCCCGTCCTGCCCCTCCCTCCCCAGCCCTTCCTGACTCCTCCCTCCCTCTCCATTTCCCGCCCTCTGGCTGTTGGAGATAAAGGCTCTTATAGTCCCTAGGGGTGTAGTGGAAACAAACCCTGGCCATTTCCCTCCCCACCCCCAGCACTCCAACAGCCAGACCTGCCCCTTCTGCCGATGTGAGATCAGGGGCCAAGAGACCGTAAGTATCCATCAATTCCAAGAGAGGCCAGCGGAAGGCAGGGCTACTGCCGAGGACCCAGGGGACAGCAGTGACCAGGAAGATGGGGAGGAGGAGCTGGAGCAGGTGAGCAGGGCCAGGCAGAAGCTGGAACTGGAATTCCTGGGTCTGAGGAAGAGGGAGGCTGGGAGCTGGACTCTTGGTTCTGGGGGAGAAGGGGCTGGTGACTGGATTCTGGGGTCCCCAGAGGTCTGGGGCTATGGCTTCTTCCAGTTGTAACCCTCCCAAGGGTTAGGATTTGTCTTACTTTCATCATATCTCCAAAGTCTAGAACAGTGCCTGAATGCTAGGACGCCAAGCAGGAGGACACGTAGGGAAGAGGATAACAGCAGCTTATACGCCCTCCCCGCCTCTGTCTCCCTAGGTGGCGGCCTCAGCTCCCCCACTGCCCTCTCAGCTGGATCTGTCCCCCAGGAGTCCCAGAAGAGAAGGTCAGAAGGTGGTGAGTCAGGGGCTGGTCTGAGGTGGGCAGGGGGGTCTCCTTCCGCCCCAGGGTACCTCAGTGTGGCACCAGGCTGCTCATACTTTACGCCCATTTACAGGGTGCTCTGCCATCCGGTAGCTCTGCCACCTCTTGACCTCCCCACTTGCTCTCTTCCTTCCTCAGTTCCCCCTTCCTGGCTTTCCAGCTCTCCTTCTGGGATCCCAGGCATGTCCTACCCCCAGGCCTTGCACCAGCTGTTCCCTCTGCCTGGATCTCCTTTCCCCAGGCTTGCTTTCTCATCCTGTCCTCAGGGAGGCCTTCCCTGACTGCTCTCTTTTATTGAAAATAGCTCCAAGCTCCCACCATGCTGATTTCCAATCCTTTCCACCACCTGGCCGACTGTACAGTTGCTGTTTTCTGTCACCATTAGCAGGTTGTAACCCTCCCAAAGTCAGGACTGTGTCTTTTTCTCCATTGTATCTCCAGAATCTAGAACAGTGCCTGACACATAGTAAGGGCTCAATATATAGGTGTTAAGTGAATAAACTGAAGTCTTCCCAATGACCCTATAAAGTCAAAAATGTTTCCTTCCTCATTTTTCAGAGGAAAAAATCTCAGATTGGTGACCATCAAAACCACACATCCTGAAAGAAGAGAAACACGGTGCTGGGGATCTGGGCCATAGAGACCCCAAAATCTTCTGCTTACTTTCTAAGCAAGCCCCAGCCTTGCTTTCTTCTCCCTGTGCCCATCTCCCTCCCACCCCAGGATTTCCTGAGACCCTGGCCCTCTGGAGAGGGGCGGGTCTCTGTTGGCATCTCAGGCTGAGTACACACAAGATTCGATCAATACCAGGCCATCTTCAAACAAACAGGTCAGGAAGTCCGGGAACATTATTCGACCACAGCAAACAAGAGAGCCAGCAGGAAAGGGGGGGGTGCAGTGATACCAGCCAGGGAAGCTAAAAACAGATCCCGACCTGCAGCCAAAAGCAAATGGAAACATTAGGAGGGGACACGGCCGGAAAGGCAGGCTGCCTCGGTCACGTGGTCGCACTCTCTCCTAGGCTGTGCTCTCCGCCTGGCTTGCCCTTTCCCCTTCTCCCCAAACCCTGACTCAAATTCCAGTCAACTCCTACTCCTTCGTTCTTCAAAACATACTGCAGGAGAGCCGGCCCTGGGAGCTACTTCCCAGCAGGGCACCGTCACAATGAGGAGAGTTAGCGTGTGCCTCACTCTTGCTAATATGCCTGGTACTGCTGTTTAATGTATTTATTTAGTTGTCCTGACAACACAGTGAAGTAGGTACCGGTCTGATCTCTTATTATATAAAGAGGGGGACACTGAGGCTCCATGACCTGGAGGTCACCCAGCTCAAAGGTGAGAAAGACAGGACAGGAACCCAGGCCCCTGGCTCCAGACTCCAGCGTCCTTCCCCCACCCCTGGGACCTTGACTCCCTTGTCTGTAAAATGGGTGTGATGCCAGTTCCTGCCGCAGGGGGCTGCTGTGAGCACTAGGCGAACAGGGCTGTGTCACTGCCCTCGTGATTGATTTATGATGCCTCCACACTGCTGTTCACCATCTGAGAAACCCACCGTTACGGGGGCAACACTGCCACCCAGCAGTGCCCTGGCATCTCCCTGGCCACCGGGGCCTCTCCCGTCCTCAGCATCTTCATGTGGAAAATGGGACGAGTCCGGTGTGGTCCCATGGGTTTTGGTGAAGTCAGCAAGACTGTGTGTCTGTAACCTGAGCCACCCCTCCCTCACCTCCCAGAACCCCCTCTAGCTCCCCAGGGCTCTAAGAACTCAAGCTAACATCCTCTCCATGGCACCAAGGCTTGGGGATCTGGCCACCTACCTCTGACCTACTGCCGCCTCCCCCACCACCAAAACTCCTTTCCAGCACTTACTGGTTGTAGCAGGCCAGTAAGCCCACCACCCACCTCAGGGCCTCTGCCTGCAGCACTGAACTCAGGCTTTTGTTCAGTCTCCCACCTTCCAGAGGCCTTACCCAGCCAGTGTCCCCCCCACCATGCCTATTTTTCAGTTCTCGGAAGGACACCTACCCACTCCGGGAAATGTCCATGTTCATATGCTGATTACTCACCGTAAGCCTCTTGCTCAGCAGATCATCAGCTCCGTGAGAACAGAGATTTTTGTCTGTCTGGTTCATGGCTGTCTCTGAACTCAGAGCCTAGAACAGTACCTGGTACACTGTAGATACTCAGGGAGCGTTTGTGGGATGGATGGAAGGATGGGTGGACGGATGGATGGATAGGTGGGTGGATAGGTGTGTGGGTGTGTGGATGGATGGATGGATGGGTGAGTGGATAGACAAATAAATGAAAACTTCCTACTCAAGCCAGAGGTGCTTGGGGAAAACCAGCATGGACGAGGGGCAAGACTATCCTACTGCCCCACCACTGTGTAACCAACCCCCTCTGGGCCTATGAAATGAAGCAGAGCTACAGTTCAGCAGAGACATTTCTAAATCTCGTTCCCTCCAGGCATCTCTGGCCCTCCCCAGACTCCGGGTCCCTATTACCTTGCCGACAATTAGGATTGTGGCCTCAGTCCCCTGGGAAATCACCTCCAGTCCCAAGGCCAGGGAGAGAGCCACAGAGTAAGTGGACAGGGCAGCTGCGGTCCAGGACTCCCGGGGCTGAGGGAAGAGGGGCTGAGCGATGGAAGTGAACCACTGGTCCTAGGAAATCAACAGCCACTCCTCAAACTCCCTCCATTGCAGAAACTCCTAAAGAGAAAATCACCCCTCCTGCTGCCCCTGTATGGCCCCTGATCACTGCCCAGGCCTGGAGGCCAGGTGAGGACACCCCACCCCACCCCTGGCCCAGTTTCCCTCCTGTGGCCTGGTCCTGCCCTCCCCACCCACCTGATGTGATACTGTCTAACCCACCTCTTTTATTGCCTCACAGGGCACGAAGATGTGCTGCTAAAGGGCGACCCAGGGGCTGGAGGGGTTTGTGAAGCAGAAATAAAACTGCCAAGCCTGGTCTGTCCTCCGGTGCGTGCAGGAAGTGCGGCGGCCACCAGGGGGCACTGTGGTAGGGGAGGGCGGTCCCTGAGGCCGGATCCCCACCTGATTAACCCAGGGTTTCTGGCACGGAGACCAGAGAGGGGAACCCACCTCCACAGACCCAGGAATCCAGGCCCGCAGCTCCCGTTTCCCTTAGACTCAGGAGTCTGCACCCCCAGTCTCCTCTTCCCAGGAGCCAGGAGTCTGCACCCCCAGCCTCTTAGTAGGATCCAGGAGTCTGCACCCCGAGGTTCTCTCTCAGACTGGAGTCCAGAGTCCCAGGTTCTCAGAGATTCAGACAGATGGCCCCCTTGCCCCATCGTGGCCAAAAATTATCTCTGGACCCAGACGCAGATATCCAAATTCTAAGTCCCTAGTCAAAAAGACGCCACATTTCTTAGACTTACGTGCCCCTATCTTGCCTCCTGTTCTTATCCCCCTCTCTCCGCCCTGGGATCCTTCTCCCAGAGTAACAGTGGCATCCAGCCCAATTCAAGCTGAGGAAGTGTCTCCTCACCTTGTCACTAATCTTGGAGGGACCCGTGCCTCCCACCACTGCAGATTAAGCCAATCCCCATCCCTTGTGCCCAGCCCCAGGCTAGGCAGGGCTGGACATGTAGCACTAGTCACTGTCCTGGGGCTCACAGTCCAGTGGGGGAGGCAGACCTGTCCCTGGACAGTGATGACTCAGAGTGGGCAGCTGACCAAGCCTGGGAGGTCAGGGGTCGGAGGGGGGGCTTCTGGGAGGAGGGCACATCCACACCGAGACTAGACAAATGAGGAAAAGGTATCCCTGTGTAAACAGAGCATGGGAGCATCACAGATCAGTTCCAAGCAGCAGAAGCTGCCTCTGGGGCAGAAAGAGAATTTATTGAGAGGACTTGGAATCACTCAGAGAATGATGGAGAGAACAAGGATCAGAAAGCTAGCAGAAACACCAGCAGCTGGCCTCTCCAACCATGCTGCAGCCAGCATCACGCCACAGAGCCAGTCTGATGAGGATATGCTGGTGCCCTGATGGCCACTGGACACAGTTATCTCACTGCCTCTGCTGCCCCAAAAGTGGGCTGGAGCAGCTTGTCTCACTGGCTGTCACCTGGGACAAATCACACCACAACTAAGTGGAAAACAACAATCACACTATCGCTCACAGTTGCTGTGGGTCAGTATTTGTGGGAGGGCTTGGTTAGAAAGTTCTGTCTCAGGGTGCAATCACATGGTACATCAAGTGGAGCTGCCTTGCACATGGCAGCTGGGAGCTAGACAGGCATCTCTCTGCCATCTCAGACCTCTGCACAGGGCCTCCAAGCTTGCTAGTTTGGGCTTCCCTACAGTATGGCTGCTTCAGGGTAGTCAGACTGCTTGTAGGATGGCTGAATATTCCTGGAGAATATTCTAGTGACCCAGTCAGAAGCTGCATAGTCCTTTCTACCTCATCTTGGGAGTCAGAGCATCACTCCCGCTACATTTTGTTGTTTACACGTTAAGTCACCAAACTGCACAGATTTAAGAAGAGGGGACATAGACCCACCTCTAAGTGAAAAGAGAGTCAAAATCACACTGTAGAAGAGCATGTGGAGTGAGACACTTTCAGCTGTCTATGGTAAACAGACTCAGTCCCAGCTCCACAGTGGAAATACATTAGCCAGTCCCTGATCCTTTGGCATCAGCTCCTCACCAAAGTATTGTGGGATTTGCCAAGCTTAAGTCACCTGAACTCCAACAGGACCGGGAAGGCAAATGTCTGTCCTAGTTGGCTTCAACAAAGGGCATCTGGCTTTCAGGATTTTTCTAGATGTGGGAAGGGGGTGCAGACGCTAGCTAACCCTACTCCCGAAAAGTCCACAACAGTCCATCCCTTTGAACGTCAGTATTTCTGGTCCTATACTTAACGTTCCTATACTTAACGTTCTCTTCTCTTGTCCTTTGAACGTTCTCTTCTCCCCAAACTTCTTACCTAAACTCTCCCTGCACAACTAACTCTTGCTATACAGGTAAAGATGCATTCACACTGCCCCTAAGAAACCACCACCTTTCAGTAATTACATATTCAAGATGCAAGTCTGGAATCATTGGAGAGCAGCAATGCCTCTCCAAATGTGTCACGATCCGGACTCCATAAGCTGTGAACTAGTTTTTAAGTAAATGTCACACACTATGTAAAATAATGGGATAAAGGTACCCCTCTTATCTGTGGGGGAGCATATATTCCAAGACCTCCGTTGGATACTCAAAACCACAAATAGTACCAAACCCTAGATATACTATGATTTTTCCTATACATACATACGCATCTGTGACAAAGTTTAATTTTTACATTAGGCACAGTAAGAGATTAAGCACAATGATTAATAATAAAAGAGAACAATTATAACAGTATACTAGGCAAAAGTTACGTCAATGTGGCCTCTCCCAAAATATCTTATTATACTGAGCTCACCTTGTGATGATGTGAGAGGATCAGATGCCCACGTGATTAGGTGAAGTAAGGTGAATGATGTAGGCTTTGTGACATAGCATTAGATTACTGTTGACCTTACGACAATTTGTCCAAAGGAGGATCATCTGTTTCTGGACCACAGTTGATCACAGTTAACTGAAACCACAGATAAGGGGAGTCCTGTAGAGAAAAAATAATTGAAATATGTGTGTATACACACATGAGATAGTGAGGATGGACTTGGGAAATTCATTCATTCCCTGACTATGTACTCTGCTCCTCCTCATGCCAAGCACTGTTCTAGGCACTGGAGATACAGTGGTCAAGCTCCTGTTCTCTTGGAGCTTATGTTCTGTGCAAGACAATATGCGGCAGTGGCAAGGCCATGGAGGAAGTAAGGAGAGGCTGTGGAGAGCGGGAATTGCTGTTTTGGATGGGATGGTCGAGAGAAACTGATGAGGTGATGTTGGAGTAGAGATTAGAAACAAGTAAGGGAAGTTGCTGTGTAGAGGGAGAATGTTTCAGCAGAGAGAAG